GAAGGAGGAGGCCGCCCTGGCTGCGTGCCAGTCCACGCCTCATCATCTGCCCTACAGTTTACAGGGATCACGACAGTATGTCACGGCGATGTTATCATCATTTCGGCTCCGAAGGGATGTTGTGGAAAAAAACTAAACTACTTCATTGCGTAAACCCCCTTTTCCCTCTGAAAATTTATTGAGTAGAAGTATTGATAACAGTAAGAAAGAGCCCCTCTTTACCCACCAATCCATTTTTCAAAATATACACGAACAAAAATTCTCACTTTATTTTCTGAAGAGTGAACTTACTTCCAAATTATATGGTTTGTCATCGCTCACTGTTTTAACTCCGAATGAACGAGCTTTAACTGCCGAGGTTATTCGATTGTGGAATTTTGGGAACTGAAAGAGACAACGATGTTTTTAAGAGTGAAAAAACCTGAAAAGTGAAAGACACAAAAACCTAAGAGCTGAAAACTGGAAAAAAAATCACAAAATTGAAAAGAAAAATGATCACTGTTTCAACCTATCGATAAATTGGAAATCCGCAGGTCGGTACTCAATATTCTCGCAATATTTCCACGCAAAGGTCTCGGAAATGAGAGTGATTCTCGCTTTAATATACTCTGCGGGTTCAAAATCAGGGCACGCCATCGTTGTGATAAATTCCTGCAAAAGACGACCCCCCTCTGATACACCCCTCCCCATCCCCATCCTATTTACCAATTTCCTAGATTTTCCCAAATTCCCACCACTTTTTTTTAGTTTTTTCCGGCATTTCTCGAAAAATTCCCAGTTTTTCCTCAACTTTGGCCCTTCGCGAGCGAGGGACGGGGGGGGGAGGGCGAAGGGGGGAGTCGTCAACCAACGAAAGAATACTACTTTCAACTGTCGGAAATAGTAGTTGTACAGAACCTTGGCGGCACCACCAACTAGGGTGGCGGGAGTATATAACACAAGTAAAACGGTGGAAAACCGCCAAAAAGTAAAACGAACCGGAATAAAGTTTTTCCCAGCGCATCAAATTCCTCTCAACGACACAATTGACGACCTCCCCTCCGAACGACAAACGAATACGGGACCCCCTCCCCTTTAGTAGCGTCTGTTTGAACGAGAAGATCAAAAAATTTTTCTCTGACAAATATAAGCAGTCTCCGTCCGTGGTTCAATGACCCCCGTCCCTTGTGATTATCACAATGGGGGGATGGGGGCCGTGTTCTGTTCAATAATGATTCCATTGGAAAAGAATTCTGACACGCCCCTTCGAAGTTGTAATGGACGCCCCTTCGACAGGGTAATGCGGTTAGTGGTAAGGGAGCAGAGGAGGCGGCAAAGTAAGCCACGATGACGTTGCCAATGAAATCAATGTCCACAATCACTGGCCTGCTTTAGCCTGCTTTTATAAAAATCTAGCCAAAGGACAATACTGCCTTATCATCACTTATAATCCAGAACTTACCATTTCTTATCCTTACGTACAGAACGATAAGACAAAATGAGAGCTAAAAATACGCGTCCTTTGAATTCTCCAGAGTGAAGTTCTAAGTCGTGCGCTTTGCGACTGCCTTTTCTCTGCTTTGATTTTCCTTTTCGCAACTTCTTGAACTGAAATCAGCTTTTTTACACAGTAGACTGACATCATGAAACCGTCAACGTTACAAGTAGCGCAAAGAAAATAAGGGGGCGCTTTTTGAGACAGCGTTCATACTCTGCGTCAGCGTACGGTCAGTTTTCGCGGCAGTTTGCTCAAGTCAGGCGCATCGGTGTGTGGGGATCCCAGTAGAGGGGGTCGTATTTGGCCGCTAGGAAGGAGGGGTTCGTACGTTTCTGTGTTGAGGAGTGGGTAGGTCAGACTTTTTTGCTCGAGATTTTCCTGTTTCATGGCATTACTATATGCCCCCCCGGCGCTTCCCCTTCCCTCCCCCCTCCCCCCTGCTCGACCTCGACGGGTCGATTCGATGAGGAGGAACAGAGGGCCGGAGGGGGTGGGCGTCGTACCAACCTCAAAAAAAGGGGGGGGGTCGTACAGACTCGAAGAAATCCCCAACCAATGATGTGCCCTGGTTCAAGTTCAAATTGCCCGCGAAAACGCTGCTGTGCTGTAGACGCTGACGTCCACAGATCGATATCCATAATTCGCAGTAGCTGGTGTTGGCGTACGCTCGAAACGCTGCCGTACGCTGACGCAAAGTATAAATGCACCCGTAGTGTTCCTCTGGAAGCAAAGGAAGAAAAGTCGAAAAACCAACTAATTAGTTTGGAACACGAGGAGTTCGCTAGACTTGGAGTGAGTGACGCTTATGCGGGGTGCGGGGCTACACAACATGGATTTCCTCTCCCACACCCAGAAGCCGCAACTTCTTCCTCATTGTCACTATCCTTTGAGAACCCGTGGACCTTAACCCCATGGCATATATGCATAAATGGCAGAATTCAATTTTTTGGCACAAAATCGACGTTTTGCTCTTGTCGATGTCAAAAAAGCACCCTAATCGAGCTGTTTTACGGGATAGGGTTATGGCAAGAGGCGGAGCCGCATGAAGTTCGGGACCCACTTGCACCCTTCCTAGGGCGACTTCACAACACCCTCTGCGGTTACGCAACATGAGCTTTTCCAGTGGTCTTACCGTGACAAATACGCAGACAAACAAAGGACAGTGACTGCCGGAGTAGCAGAGCTGTGAAAAACGCATGATCTACAAGAGGATGGGACTTTCTAAGGGGTAGGAGGGCTCGGTGGCGGGCGATTCTCGTGAGCTATATTGAGAAAAGCTATAATGGGCGAGGCGACAATGAATGAACATGGAAAGAGAAGAGGGCGCAAGAGCAGAAAAATGATGTGATTTGAGCGATGGCGTAGTTTATCTTGGAGGGGGCATTTTTCTGGTTACCATCGACTACTGCCGACGTCTCCTGTGGGGATCTTTAAATTCCTGTGAAGCTTTGCAATAGCATGAGCTTCGGTTACACTTCACAAAAGGCTACAGCTCTCACGAGGTTGAGACGCGTAATTCAGAAGGACCTGGCAAAAGAAACTGGCGGAGAAGAAAAGTGCCCCCACCCTAACCGACCGGCGCAGGATCGAATCCAAGAAGTCCGTAAATGGGACGGGGCCAATAATAGATATATGAGAGCAACAAGAGGCGTGGCTGCGAGGGTCCAGACGGAAGAGACGCAGAGACATGCATAAACAGAGGAAAAACAGAAACGCCTCTTTTCGTCCTCTGATTTGGACAATAGCAACCTCACAAAAAAAGCTAAAGTTAATAATGTCGTTCTCTATGTCGAAATCGTCGGACCAATATCGAACGGATTCATGAAGCAGGGGTGCGGCTCATTCAAGGAAATTACGCTTGGGCAACTCATTTAACCCTTATCTAAGGAAACAAAGCGGGAGCGCGTTTTCACCTCGTGAGTGTATTTCTTTTAGCGAGCTTTGTACTTCAGAATCTAATCTGTCTTTCGCATTAAATAATGCGTAGGGTGCTACAATTCGCATATATGGACAACTAACAACACATAGCGTGGTTCTATTTGAGGGCAGAGTTCACGTTGATCGTTTGGGCGGAAACATTCAACAACTATGTCTTCCTCTGTGGCGGGCCCCTCTCCTTTGCCATCGGAAAGGAGGATGCTACTGTTGAAACGGGGCAAAGAAGGACTGTCTCCGTCGTGAGACCACAGCAGAATGTGTCTCCTGTATCTGAAGCATGGCAATTCCAATAACGTACCTCTTTCGAGTTTTTCCTGGCGCTTTTACCTCTGAAAGGTTTGACTATGTCCGTGTTATCACTCGATGCGAAAAGCTAAAAAGAAAGATACAGTCGTGGTCTTTGCAAAGGAGCGGGCGCATGCTGGGAGTGGAATGGAGCGCCACCGAGGTGGTCTTTCCACCAATGATATCATCCTGAGTCCGCAACGACTGGTGGGAAAAGATGTTGCGACAGCGCTCCAATACACACCCCTTCATACGCCCTGTCATTTGCTGGGACTATATACAACATGAAGGCCATTAAAAATACAATGAAAGAAACCTGCAGGGACCAGGAAACCCTTTGCCGTCCGATGCGTCCGCGTGTGTTGAGTTCAAAGTGAGTGCCCTAAAAACTATATATTTTAGCGAGCAAATTTACAAAATGAACAGAATTTTTAAGGCGCCACTTCTTGTATGATTCTTCGCCTTCTTGTGACCTTTGTGATGTTCTGTAGTATCCAATCGAGAGCCTTCAGGGTATCTGCAGAAAGGTCCTGGAACTGAATTTTTCTTAGGGACGTCTTCACCTGTACGCGAGAGTGTGTGAAGGCAGCCCATGGGGGGTTTATCAAAAGGACTAGACTAACAGGACTAGCGGTTGGATGTGCGAGTCGCACTGGTTTTGACACGCGCAGAAATCAACCAACAATTTCCTGGCTAGTTCTTGACGTACTTGTACTATTTTGGCGCCAAATCAACTAAATAGTCATGGAGCGAATGGCGCGCACGCGATGCCACTCTCGATCCCCTTTCGCAACAACATGAATTTTCCCCTTCGCACCTCAACTCAACGCGACTGAATGATTTTGGATATAGCTTAGTGGCATAGAGAGTCCGACTACTTCTCTACAGTACACTACGCTAGAAGAGGGTGCTTATACCTGCTATTTCACATTTTACCCCGGTGAGAATCTTGTCAAGTGTAAGCGAAGCTTCACAGCTTTGCAGGAATTTAGGTCTCCACAAGAGGCATTGTCGGTGAGTAATGGAACCAGCAAACTGCCCCCACCAAGCCGAGCTACACCTACCAGGGACTTGAGAGAGGCTAATTGAAGACGTTTACCATACGTTTCCTCATGTTCAGCTCCCTAGACGACGAAGAAAATCGGTACTGACCTGAGGTGGTGGTCGTTTCTCAACAATGTCTGGAACTTTAGTAACTGCACCTTCGTGAATAAATCGTTTTGCGTCGAACGACTTTCGCATTGTGACTCCAGTGAGACCGAAACCTAGAGAAAAGCACTAGGACGTTTCAGAAACGCTTTAGTCGCAGTCTACACTGATCGAGTGGGCGGGGATGGTCAATCATTGCACTTCTCCCACTCCTGCAACCTTGGTGTATGTATAAGGATGCAATTGGAGGGCGCCAAGGTACAGTGAATGACTGTCTCCGCCTACATGACCAGCGTGCACTGTTGCGTAAACGAGTTACTATAGAAGTAGTGAGTGGGAGGATTACCTTTGGTTTTTTTCTGCTTAAAAGTAAGTTCGGGGAGAAGCTTGCTGACACCGAAAAGCGTAGTTCTCTCGCTATCGAACGGCTTAATTTCTCTTCTTGTTTCGACGTTGCTGAAAGGAACCTCATTAGACGGCTTCTCCAAAAGATTGATGTGAGCACGCTAACGAGACCAGGGCACATCATCGTTAGGATTCCCCAACAAAAGGGTTGTAGCTGGTCGTTGGGCGGGGGAGGGGAGGCGGAGGTCGTATTTGGTCAAAAATTTTTCTTGATAGCTGATTTTTCGGCGCAGTTTGTCGACGGGGGGGGGGGGGGGGGCATTTTGCTTTCCATAGATGTGTCGACCCATCTAGGTAGCCTTTTCTCGAGTTGACACGTTTTGGGATGGTGGCTAGACGATCTTGCTCCAGCTTCACAAGAGTTCACAAG